AGGATAACTCTTCATTTGGCTATTTATAGGGGACTAAGAGATCTAGCAAGATACCATGTACCAGTTTGTGTAGAAGTTTTTCCCTTTGTCTTACATACTTGCCTTGGGCTGAGAGTATATTTTACTAACCCATAATTACTTTTTTACTCACACCCCTCAAACATGTTCTGTTTTTTGAACTTACTTTAATGCATTTTACTCTTCTCTCTCAGTGTAAGCTCTCTGTAGTATATCTGAGAGCTTTTTGGTATATCTGAGATAACCAGTGTTCAGAATTGTTACTTGACAGAGTCAGCATCTGTCTTTACTTTATACTTTGTTCTGATTACAATCAATTAATCAATAAAAAATGACCTTATAGCAATACTTGTCCCTGAGCTTTTAGGAGCATATAAGCTGTAGTTTCCCATGAGTAGACTGTTGACCTGGGAATATTTCATTCTGTCCTCTCCCTGTGGCAGGGTGGTTTTGTATCTCCTCAATAGAAAGGTACTTGGCCTGAGTACTGCAGGGCTAAGTGTAACAGTTAAATTTGGAAGCCCTGATGGAGTGCTGAATGTACATATCCGATCTTGACAAACACAGCTGGAAGGGAAGGGTGGGCACTGGTAAGTGTTTTGACATGAACTTTTCAGATATTGCACGTGTTGCTTCACCTGGTGAGATTTTAGGGCAAGTGTGTGGTTTGCTCTTGAGGTAAAGAAGAAGAGACTGTGAGAATTGTTAGTTTGGATCCATTCTCTGATTTGTACTACTGATAGGTAATTTCTGGAAATTAGAGTAGTGAAAAAGGCAATGCATTTCAACCAGAAGATTTCAGTCCTTTTGCTGGTATTTTTGAGCTGTGTGACCGTTGGACTTTAGTGTCCTTATCTGCAAAGGACAGATGAGCTCTTATCGCCTGGGATGTGATTCATCCTTGAGCTTATCCTAAGAGTACCAGTGCTGGCAGAGTCCAGTTACAAATGACCGGCCTTTGTCCTCTGCAGATTCAGTCCACTGCTACTACTGTGTCTTGCACAGTTTAAGTGGGAGAGATGCCTCATGGAAGGAGAAACTTGCTAACATCATATGAAACAAAGCTGTGAAAAACAAATGTATTCCTATAATTATTTTATCTTAAAGATAGATACTGTGTTGATCATACAAACTTAATCTTGCTTTGTACCGTGTAGAAATTAATAGCACTGTTATCTTAATGGGGAATTAGTAATTACATTGTTTGTTTGCCATCTCAGTCTAGATGTTTGTCTGTAGTCATGATCTAGCTGTACAATTTTAGATTGTTGGGAACAGTACATGTGTCCAAGAGGATAAACTGGTTATGTCTAGAACAAAAATTGTGAAAAAGAAAACTTGGGAAACCCCTGGATTATAATGATTTAGGGGAAATACAACTCCCAGCCTGCTAGATGTCTGAAATGCTGAGTTTGTGTTCTCTAAAATCGGTGAATGAACAATGGTAGTTAAGAGTGGGAAGAATTTATTGAAAGAAAATTTCTGTCTAAGAGGGATAGAAGAGGGCTGCCCACCAATCCCTGCTTCTCAAAGGTGTTTACTGAGGAAAGCCATGAGGTGAGGTGGCTTTAAGGTGGGGCAGAACTATAATAAGATTACAAGGATAGCAGCTTAGGTAATACTAATCCAGTGGAAAATCGTAGGATGGTGTGAGGTGGGATAAAACTATGGTCAGCCATTAAGATTACAGTCTGTATAGTCTCCTGGGTAATACTGATTAAATGAGGACCAAATGGGGGAAAAAGTCTTACAGCAAGCACATATGGGACGGACAAGGACTTTCCTGGAAGGAAAGTGGGTTAAGGAGGTTTGGTCCTTTGTCCCAAGTGATGTCTATTAGAATGTCCACTACTGTTCATCCTTAGGGAAAGCATATGGGTTAGTAGTTCCTCTTTTTTTCTGGCCTTCAGTGAATATGCCTCCAGCTACAGCTGTCTTCTGCAGTGACCTCTGGAGGACCCAGCCCTATCTGTCTGTAGTACACTACCTAAATTAGCCATCTGTAATAACGTCATGTGTAGTCCTGTGCCATACACACTGAGAATCAAGATTTGAAGGCGTTATCTAGTACTGCACTGAGAGGTTTGGATTTGTGGGCTTTGCTCAGAAACAAGCCTGTCTGTAAGAGCTTAGGCACACCGTCTCCTTCTGCAGCCTCTGCTTGGAGAGAGAACTTTGCACTCGATCTCTAAGCTCCTGGATTCTGTGGTTCCTCAGGGTTGGAGTATTGCATCAGGACCCAGCCTGGGGTTTGTGATGTTTTTAACACCCAAAGGAGCTGCTTCATCCTTTTATTTTCCCAAGGAGATAGGCTACATAACCCCACAGAGCCAGATTCTGCACTGAGCTGCCAGCGTTGTGAGGTGTCTCTTCATTGGGGACTGCATAGGTTGTTTGTAGTAACCTAGAAGGACCTTAGCATGATGCCAGGAGATGTAATTTCTGTGTTCAGATGGCTACCTACTTAAAAAGCTTGCTAGAGAACCATTTTATCTTTAGATTTTGGAGGTACATCTTCTCTCAAAGTGTCTGTTTTGAATTCAAAGATTCCCACTGTTTTAAGCAATTACCAAGAAAATATGTTCTGTGAACTTAATTTTAAAATGTTAGAAATGTCTTCACATTTGACTTTTAATGCTTGAGTAAAATTATTTGGTTTTTACGGGTTCTTTACTGTCTCCCTAATGCTAGTTCTATTTTTTTTTTTTTAATGCTGGAAAGAGTTGATGATATCCATGTTCATCTTTTGATACTGGGTAGCCTCCAATTTCTGGGTGAGTTAGGAGTTAGTACCAGACGAAAAGCTCTCGGTGACTGTTCATTCACATTGCCAATTCATATGGTTTGGTCACAGCTTTAACGCTAGACTGTTTTTTGTGATGATGGAAGTCTCACAATGATGATGGCAGACTCCTCTGGTCTCTCCCAGGTTTGGACCAATACAGCCAATGCTTTGGAGCATTGAGGTTGTTGATAGCAACAGCAGGCTCTCAGGAGTGGCATCAAGAAGAAGGGTGGTGGAGAGAGGTGGGAGAATTAGCTCTCTGGAGTCTTCCATACGGGCACTGATCCTAACCATGAGAGCTCTCCCTTCATGAGCTAATCAGCTCCCAAAGCTCCCATATCAGTACCATCTACCACCCATCGGTACCATCAGTGGGAGGTTTCAAATAGGTGAGCAGAACCATGGCAGGTGGGAACGTTTTCAAGAAACACGTGGTAATGCCTGTCCTCTTAAGCTTTCACACTTTTGTGTTAGCAGGATGTGTGTCCAGCAGAAACATAGCTCAAACCAGTACCTTTTTTTTTTTTTTTTTCTCAAAACATCTTCAGCTTTCTTCAGCTTCCCTTTCTTTTTTTTGTCTTTCCACAGTTAGTGGTGACATCGTTATCTGGTATCTCAAACTTAAATTTGAAAATTGGGAATTAGCCAGTGTCCTTCCAGCCTCAGCTCTGTGATTGATGGGTTCACTCATGTACTCAGGCACCGTCAGCCACTTCGCCAGTTTTATATGCAATACGTATTGTGCGCCTTATTCTGTATTGAGAATTCATTGCTAGCTGAGAAATGATCCCTGCACTCTTGCAAGCGTCACTCTTACCGCACAAAAGAACTGCTATTCCCAGCTCCTTTTTACACACTTGCAGCTATTTACCCTTCCTGGTGTGACTTCTTGCTTTAACTTTGTTTCCAAGAGAGTTTTCTTTATCATTTCAGCTAGCTTAAATTTTATTATCATTATTGCCCCAAGCAGAATCAGGTGGACCTTCCTTAGTGTTCTCAGTACTCACATCCTGCTATGGCTTCTCCCTTCAAGAGTTTTAATTAGTAGTGTATGCGAGGATGCCCGTCTGTTTATAAAGGTGTGTGTATATGCAGACATCTTGGTACCTCCCTTAGGCTGTAAGTGCAGTGAGAACAAGGAACCACAATATATACTTGACTGTTCCTGCAGCTTAGTACTTTAAAGATTTGAGTAAATAAATGGATAAAAGGCCATCAGTGAACTTATTTTTGCAGGATACTGTAGGGAGTTGTAAGTATGAATGAGATCTGGCTTGTCTTTAAGACATAGCCATAAAGGATCATAGTCAGGGAGGTAAGAAAAAGAGGAATATAGGAATATACTGCAAGGCAGGTTGTGGTAAGCTATATACAGACTTTTTTAGCTGTGAATACTTAAGAATTGAAGGGATGAGATCAGTTCTCATGAGTGCGATATTCTGTACATTTATAGAGAGGATTTTTTTTCTTCCTCGTGCTACGTACGTATCATGAAGGATACATATGATAATAAAATGTGGTCCCTGACTTTTAAGAGTTTTATAGCCAGTAGAGGAGGGATTGGCATATTCTACCCTGTGGGCCAAATGTGGCCCTTCATCTGTTTTTTAATGGCGTGTGAACTAAGATTTTCATTTAGTTTTAAAATTGTTGGGGGACGTGTTTTGTGACATGAGAAAATGATATGAAATTCAAATTTCTTTGTGCATAATTAAATTATGTAAGAATGCAGCCACATATATTTACATACTATGACTATGTTTAAGCTACAGCAGTAGAGGTGAGTAGCTGTAATAGAAATATTTGATTCACAGTATCTAAAATATTCATTGTTTGACTATAGAACCAGTCTGCCCACTGCTAGGTTAGAGAGTGGGAAAGATTCAAATAAAGCAGAGGAGGACAGAAATGATTTTCATATTGAGAGGATTAGCTTGAGTTGAGAGAGGGGTCAGAGAATACTGGCAGTCATAATAGGATTGACATGATGATCAAGCTTAGCCTTATTTTACAAAAAAAGATCAAACATTGAGTCAAAGTCCACATGGCTCATAAGTGGTAGTCTTAGTGTGAGTGGCACAGATGCTTTTCTGTAGACAATAAAATTACTGAGGTGTGGCTGTATCAGAATTGATGAACAAACTAAAAGCAGACTTTCTCTGAATTTAATGTTTCTGTTTTTCTCTTGTATTTCTAGAAGGCCTTTGAGCCTTACTTTGAGATTTTGGAAGCATATTCCACAAAAGCCAAGAATTACGTAAATGGGTATTGCACCAAATATGAGCCCTGGGAGCTGATTGCATGGAGTGTCCTGTGGACCCTGCTGATAGTCTGGGTGTATGGATTCATCTTCCAGCCAGAGAGTAAGTATAGTGTCCCTTCTATAACAGTGAAGTGTCCATAACCTTGATGCTCATGGCTGGTGAATTAGATTAATTTGTCTTTTGGTTTGGTTCTGATTTTTAAAATCTTAATGACATTGTCTTCCAGTTTGGTAATTATTACTTATCTTAATTTTTTTCTTTCATTTATAGCTTACATAAAAAGTCCTCAGAAATGAGTCTTGTAAAAATTCATAGATGTTTCAGAGTAGAGCTTAAGTTTTTTTCAGTACCAATTTCTCTTCAGAACAGGAATGTATTGCTTTCATTTTGAACCTTCCTTTTCAATAAAGATTAGGTGAAATTGGAACAGCACCGATCGGCTCCCATTTGAGTGCCTGTTTAGGACCAGCACTGTGCCAGGTAGCCTAAGATCTTTCTTTTGGAGTAGTACTTCTAAGGCGATGCAGAAGTTAAATCTCAGTGATCTGCTTATAAATAAATCTTCCACCCTTTCTCAGATGTAAGCCTCTGTCCTGTCCACCCATTTCCTTCCCACTGAAAACCTGACTGCGTGTGACCTTCCTCTGACCTTTTTTTTTTCCCTGCAGGCTATGCTTGGTGTGTTGGATTACACCTAAATCTAAACAGTAGGTGTGGTGATAGATGTTCTCTTAATTCTGCACCCTTTCTCCACTCTCAGAGCGTCTGAGTTAACTTTCTTGGTGTCAGGAACCAATCACGTTGTGGAGAATCTAGTCATTTTCCCTTGGGTTGAATTTCTGCAGTGCTTTGCTAGTTTCTCTGATAACATCTTTTGAAAGGATTCTTTTATCTGTATCTTTTCTGCTTTCTCTCTTTTCCCTCAGGAAAAGCCATTTAATAGCTAGATTGTTTCTATCTCTTAATCATATATGCAGCCCATGCAGAGTAAATAAACATTGCAAGAAATGACAAGTAAGAAATAAGTTCCAGGCTGGATGTGGTGATGCACCCCTGCAATCCCAGCACTCAAGGGCATCCTGGGCTGCGTAGTGAGTTCAAGGCCATCTGGAACCTCACATGAGACCGTTTCTCAGGAAAAAAAAAAAAAAACAAGTTCTCCTGCTTTATAGCTTTTTAGTTAAAGTGGAAAAGAGACATAAATAACTGTTTGTGGCAGCTTTACAAGCCCTGTCCTCAGTTTTCATAAACTCTAACAGATTGGATTGACCATTTTGCTGCATCTGCTCAGTGACTGGGTTATAGTTGTACATGTGTCATCTGCGTAGCACACTGCTTTCCCAAGAAGTATGCCATTCATTGAGCAAAGAGCCCGTCGTTCTACAGGGCGAAGCACCTCTGCGCTATCCAGAGAACCCTAGGGAATAGCAGCATAGCAGTGTTCCTGGGTTTCTTCCTTTTTACTGCAGTAAGTGAGATAGATAGATAAATAGATAGATAACATCAGCCAGGCATCGCAGCACTCAGGGAGGCTGAGACAAGAGAGTCATAAATTCGAGCTGCACCTGGGCAGCTTAGTGACGTAGGTCGATCCTGTCTGAAAACAGTGACTGACTTCATGAGGAGTGCAAACAGGGTGCAGGCACTTCACTGTGGAAGCGGAAACAATGTAATTTCCCTTTAAAAGTACTACATTTATGAAACCATATTAAATCTAGAGAGCTTGAAATTTGTATTTGTTTGCCATAATGAATATTAATGTTAGATATTTAATTCCTTTAAATAAAACTAATTTTAGGTGACAAGTCAAATTGCATATATTTATCATGTTTAACATGCTGTTTTGGAATATGTGAGCAGCACAGAATGGTTAGATTGAGCTAGTTAATATATGTATTACCTCGCACACTTCGCATTTTTCTGGTTAGGTACTGACTTTCAGTTCTGCAGCTTACTGTGCTGTGCATTTTGCTTAGCTGATAGCAGATGCACTGTCATCTTGGGTTCTGATATGTACTTATCTGCCTTTCTTGTTCAAAAAGGAATATGCTGGCTCTGCGCATTCCATGAGAAAATATTAGCAGCAAAATATTAAAGATCTTTGTGGTTAGCTCCAAGCCATTTCATTGTGTATGTATTTCATTACAAAAATCAGTACATGTAGGGGCTGGGGGATTAGCTCAGCGGCACAAGCGCCTGCCTGGCAAGAGCAAGGTTGTGAGTTCGATCCTCGGTACCAAAAATAAATAAATAAATAAAATTTAAAAAATCAGTACATGTTCCCTATGAGAAATTTAGTCAATATACATAAACCATAAGAACAAAATTAAAATCTTGCTTTCAAATGCATCTATATCTAGGTCTAATCTAAATCAGGTTGCACCATAAAAACTGTAACTGTTAGAGGTCTAAAATTGTTGAATATTGACAATTTAATGTAGTTGACACAGAAGACACAGTTTTTGTTTTGTAATTTGCAAATTGAATTTCAGATACAGATTATGTCTTTCCTCCAAAGATAAGGGGTAATTTTGATAGGGTTGCTATTTTATTAGTTCCTTGCTCATGTTAGGAATATGCTATGAACTGCCTTTGTATAAAGTATATTGTAGAAGCTCCTGAAATTGGACTCATGTTAAATTAGAGCATTAAGTAATTCTGGAACAAAGAGTAGAAAGTACCTAAGAACTGTAACAGCAAGATCCTGGGCAGGTTCCCTCTGTGATTATCAACTCAAAAGCTATGCCTTAATGCTTCATTATTGAATTTAACTTGGGCTTGTCCGTTGTTTATCACCAGAAATCAGCTTAATGTGAGGTGAAATAATCCCCTCTCCATTTCTCACAGGACCTCTTGGGCAGCACCCTTAAGCATCCTGTTTCCCCATAGTCAAATGAGCATGGAAATACCTGATCCACCTAGTCAAAAACAGAATTTATAAATCGCAAGGAGACAGTTGTTTTTAGGCAGGCATTTCTGTTTTAGATGAGCAAATTCATTTTTTAAATTCCTGTGGTTATGGAGTGGAGAGGGAAGATGGAATTACCCAGATTGTCTTAGAAAACAGTATAGGTTCATACTCCGTTCATGCCTGGGATCAAAGCTGGGTCTATAGTCTTAGAAACTCATGTGGGTTAACAACATTCCTATCATGCATTTGAAGCAGCATAGAGTTGCGGACTAAAACAGAAAGACTTTAGTTAAATCCCGCTGTCACTGATCTGATCTGTGGCCTTAAGCAAGTTTTCCTTGACTGTCAGTTGCCTTTTACGTCACTCAGGTGCTGTACAAAGCCTTCTAGACCAATCTCAAAATACTGTTGTCAGGGTCAGTTGAGATTTATTGAATGTGAGTGCACTAAACAGTCTAGTTAGATACCGTGTATTTATAGCTTATCATTATAAATCTTATTTATATTACATAAGATATAAACTATTTATATTACACAAATTTTATTTATACTTTTATTTGTGTGTTTATTTTAATTGACTTCATAGTGATTATAACTGATTCCTGTCAAACACAATTCTCCATTCTCCATACTGCCTTTCAGAATGGATTCTGGTGTCCACGATTTTCAGGGTCTTCTTAGGTCCAGAAAATGTTGCTAGGATTTGTGTTAAGGTTTGTGTCTCGATGACTCCCAAAGCCTCATGTGGTCTTAGGTGGGGATTTTTCAGAGGTGACTGGCTCTAGAGTGTGTGGTGCTGGGACTGATTCATGGTGCAGTGCTAGGATCAGGGGCACTTGGTTTAAGAATGTGAGGGTTACCTGCCCTAGGTAGCCTGCATAAAATGTAAGACATCCATTGCTTGTTTTGCTACCTTCTGCCCACCATAAGCTGTTCCTCCTCAGTTGTGTCACCCTGCCTTGGAGCCTGCCAGTTATGGACTAAACCCCCCAAACTGAGCTAACTGAATTTTTCCTCCTTTAATTTTGGGTATTGGGTATTTTGTCTCAGCAGCAAGAGAAAAGTAACTAAGACAATATGTGTTGGATTGGAGATAAGAGCATAGATCCTGAAAAAACCTTGGGTTGTTCCTTTCTTCAGAGACCAAGCAGAGAAGCATTGGGCATCTGGAAACTGTGACAACGTTTCTGGAATACACGTGTCATTTGATGCAGCAGTTCTGCTGTTGCACATTTGTTTGTAGATACACTAGTGTGAATGCAGTATAGTGCATGTTACGAAGTTTTCTTAACATAGATTATAAGAGCAAATATTACAGACAGCCTGTAATTTACCAGTAAGGGGTAAATTATTCAGTTGTGGTACTTCTAAACAATGACATAATCTGTAGCTAGTAAAATGAAGGGGAAAACACTGATCTTCTAAGGTAAGATTTCTAAGTAGAAAAACAAGGGCTAATATAGAGTTAGACTATTATCTTTTGTATCAAAATGAAGAGAAATGAGAATATATCTTTATGGTTATTTGTGTATACATAAAGATTATGAAAGAGACTAGAAGAATATGCTGGAAACTAGGTGTGTTTAACCCGGGAGCAGGTTAAGGCCCATGAGATTAAAGAAAGAAAGAGTGAAGTTACTGTGTATGAGTATTTTTAAAATAAATTCTGGACTATGTAAAGATACTACTCACTCAGAAAACTAAAAGGTTTTTACCAGGTAAACTAAGCAATCTTTGCAGTGAGAAGGAAAGTAAAGTTGTGAGATACAGTGAATAATCTGTTGACTTGCAAGTAGGTCATATCCATAGAACTACATTGGAGTAATGGAACCTTTGTTTCTTGTAGGCTTATGGTCAAGGTTTAAAAAGAAGTTTTTTAAGCTTGTAAGGAAGATGCCCTTTATTGGTAAGAAGGTGAGTGGTTGCTATGTAGGTCTTTCTTCCCCTCTTTAGAATCATAACTCTGTCTTCTTATTTGCTATTACTGTTTGAAAAGGAGCGGCTGATCTTGTCTTCTGCTTCCAGGGGACATTTGGCAGTGTTTGGAGACAGTCTGGGTTGCTGTGACCCTAGTGCAGTTCTGCTGGCATCTAGTGGGTAGAGGCCAGGGTGTCTGAAACATCGTACCATGCACAGGCCAGCTTTGCAGCGGAAATTTATCTGCTCACGATGTTAAAGTGGGCCAAGCAAGGCTGGAGGAACCTTGAATGAACCATTTCTTCAACACGTGAGGAGAGACCTGTTAAAGTAGAGTAATTTGAAATTAGAAAACTTGACTGAAGTGTTACCATTCTTTAGAACAGTATTTGGCTGTTCTAAATGTAACTTTTTCTAGGGTTAAGTTAGATTAGCCAACTTTCTGTAAAAGGGTAGACAGGAAACATTGTAAGCTTTACAGGCCATACTTCTTGTTCTAGCAAGAAGAGGACAGTTGTAAGAAATGAGCCCGTGTGTATTCCAGGGAAACCTCATTCCCAAAGACACCGAGTGGATTTGACCCTCACTACAGTTTACTGACCCCAGGTTAGAAGCTTAAGGAGATAAAAGGCTGTTCCCTTGCTCTTTGCACCTGTGTGCTGCTGCCTTCACTGTTTCCTCTTTGCTCTCACCAGCGCCAGATAAGCTATCCCCTGTGCCCTCCTCCTGGTCTTTCTTGCAGAGATAAACAGGGCAGGCCCCCTGCAAGCTCTGAGGAAGCCCGACGAGGCTGGATGCTGTCACCTCTCCCAGCACCCTGTCCTGCCCTCGGCCTTCTTTGATTCTTTTCCTGCTTAACTCGCCTTCACATTTTCTTTCACATTTGGCCTTCGCGTCCTGGGGTGAGAGAAGAAGCCATACAGTGGCAGGCTGATAGCATAAAGACAGTCGGGCTCCCCTTTGTGTCATTTGCCTGTTTTCTGTTCATATCCCTCTCCCTTTGTCTTTCCATGTCAAGATTTTGGGGACAAATAAATGCTAGAGTTCCAAAACCCACTTGTAAATTTGTAACAGAATTGAAAGAAGCTCAGAGATGGCCTTTTATTTTTCAGAAGTGAATTCTGAAGCTTAGAAAAGTTCTCTCATGTGTTCATTACTACCACGTTTATTGAGTACTTACTCAAGCGTCAGGCACTTTCTGGGTGGTGAGGCTGAGTGGTAAACAGCATATGGTGGAACTTAAGCAGCATTTTAGGAAAGACAGGAAAAAATACATATATAAAATTTCATTTTAAAATACATATTTTGAAGAAATTTAAATTGAGTAATGTGATAGAGGCTGCAAGGTAAGAATTACAGGTGAGAAGGTACTTGCCAAGCTGTCTAATATTCCTCTCATTGTGAATTTTTTTGGTTGTTTTCTTTTTTAAAAAACGGTGTAGTCTATGCATGGAAATGCACATAGTTTGCTCCAGTTTACATGGTTGCTTTGGACTCGGTATAATTTTTTGTTTACAGCTTTACAAATATTTCCACTTTATAGTGTGATTCCACATTGCCAAATAGTGTGAACTTCGCTGCTGGCTCGGGCTGGCGTGGCAGGCTGCTGCAGGCATGCTTCAAAGGAGTGGCTGTCCCTGTGGTTTCTTTGTGGTTGGGCACATTCCAGACCCTCCAGTACTTCAGTCATCCAGGAGTAGGCTGAGAAAACAGAGTTCAGAGTGACATCTTGGGCATCAAATTTGAACAAAGGCATTGCTGGAGTCCTAGCTTTTTGTCATGTACATAGCCTTTGTCCTCAGACTTAGCGCCTGGGTACTTTATCATCAGTAGTAACTCCTGCTGTCCTGTCTCCTCCGTACTCTGCTGCACTCATGAGTCTTCCCCCTCCTACCCTCAACTTTTGCTTTCCTGACTTCTGTTTTCTGTCTGTCTTGCTAAAACAGTGTCATGAGATCAGCAGGTTTTCCCACTGTGTGTCCACTGCCTCAGTTCCTTCTGTTCACTGTGTATCCCCGGCCAGTCCTTGTTCAGCAAATATTTGCTAACTGCGTGAGTGAATGAATGACAGTGAGTGGCTCCCAAGCTGTGGTTCTAAGGGTGAAAGAACCATAGGCGATAAATTACAGGTAGCAAAAAGGACCTTAGTTCCTCCTGGCATTTCAGCGTCAGACAGTACAAACTGTTGACAGCAGGAGAATCAATGCAGTCATTTTGGCAGCCCTTCATGTTATGTGTTTGTACACAGGAGCTTGTCTGGGACCTCCAGGTTCCCAGTGTGCACTGTGCATGTCGGTCAGAGTTCTTGTCACTTGCATAATGACCGAGATCCCCTTTACTGCACTGTGGCTGGCTTCATGGCTCTGCCTTTGTTGCTTATATGTGCATGCTATAGCTGCTGCCAAGGCTAGAATGAAGTCCAGATACTGCCCTCAGATTAGTGTTCACTTCAGCAAATACAAACCAGGTAAAGTCGGGAGAGGAAAGGGATGTGAGGAAAATCAGGGCAATTTGACTGTTAGGAAGTTGACTTCTTTTCCACAGTTCAAATCTAGGCCCTTGCATTTCTTAGGCAAGCACTGTACCACTGAGCTACATTGCCAGCCCCTAAAAGTTGGCTTTTTTCAGTTCTCAGCGGTTGTTGCTGAACAGTTGGTATCACATCTCTTTAAGGAATACTGTCCCAGTTCACTAGCCTGTGTGTAATGCCTGGGGTTGGGCAGATGGTCAGATGGAAAAGTCATGACTGGCTTTTCCACGTTCTGAATTGTATCCTTTTATCTGTTTTCATACGCTTGAAGATTCAGAGCAAATGTTCAGAGATCAAAGAAGACCTTAGGAAGCATTTGCAGTTCCTGAAAGTGGGTAAAGACTATGTGAAAGCTCTGCCAGCCCAGGGTTTGAGCACGACGGCAGTCCTGGAGAGACTCAAGGAGTACAGCACCATCGGTAAGATGCTCGGGGTAGGCGGTACCCACGCCTCTGTGTGGTGGCTTTTGTCATCCTTCAGTAATTTCTTAGGGTAGGAAAAACTTATCTCTGGTTCCTGTGTGTTCAGGAGGGCCCACTCCCTGTTTGAAGGTCTGAATTTCATATTTGAAAAATTTAGATTCATCATGCATTCATTCATATACTCATTTATTTATTTTAGATATTGTCTCATTATGTAGTTCAGGCTGCCCTTGAACTACTGTGTAGCCTTGGCTGCTCTCAAACTTGTGGCGATCACCCTGCCTCAGTCCACTGAGTGCTGCGGTTATGGGTGTGCACCACCATGCCTGCCTCATCATTTGTAAAGCAACCAGATTTGAGAGAGTGGAACTTGGTTCCATTTCCTTTGGTAAATATGAATAAAATAGATAATTTGTATTTTTAAAAAGAACCTAAATAGAAATGAAATACAGGTTTATGAAATTTGAAATCTCTGTCAAAAAAGTCACTAGCATGCCACTATTAAAAGAGGAGCACAGATGATACATTTCTAGGTAGATACAGATAGACAGATCTGTTTAGATCTATATCTAGAGATACACTATAGATACCTGTATCTATTTCAGAGGTTTTTTTTCATTTGTTTTGTTTTTGAGACAGGGTCTCATCATGTACTCCAGGCTGGCCTTAATGGTGATATTCCTGCCTCAGCCTCTGAGTGCTGGGATTATAAGTGTGTGGCACCATGCCCATCTTCTAGCTCAGAATGTTAGCAGTGTTTTGTGTGAGCATATACAGACATATGTGTGAGCACCCATGGGAAAGATCAAAAACGCCAGATAACTTAATGTTTAAGAGTATAACCCATGGACTGGTTTTATATCCTGGTTTTGCTAAAAAGAGTTACTTACTTTCTGTATGCCCCATTTTCTCTATCCCTGCAATTTCTGTTTCCCTAAAAGGCTGATTAAAAGATTAAATGAAATCATCGGGGGGCTGGGGATATGGCTCAGTGGTAGAGTTCTTGCCCTCCATTCATGAGCCCTGCCCTGGGTTGCATCCCCAAAACCACACACACACACACACACACACACACACACACACACACACAAATCAGTTGAAATCACACATGGAAATATTTAGTATCTGGCATATGTTGCACAGTACCTAGTATTCAATAAATGTTAACTATTGCTGCTATTAATGTAAACATATATATGACTTTTATATTAAAATCATATAGGAAATACTTTTTTAAAAATAAGCTTTTTAGTTTGACAAAATTTTAGATTTATAGAGAAGTAGCAGAGATGCTGTAGGGACTTTCTATGTTCCTTGCACTCATCTTCTCTTTTCTATTCTAATATCCAGTCCAGGATAGATGCCACATTGCATTTTGACAATAACATTTCTAACGAATAGTGTTGAAGAAAGAGTGAAGTCGCACTGGTAGCAAGCCAGAGATGGCTTTTGCTGCAGAGGGCTGTGAGAGTGAGGGGTGGCTGTGTATCAGCTGCTCAGTCTCTGGTGTCTTGCTAAACTGAAGGAGATTTTTGCTTTGGGGCCTGTGACTACCGTGTCTGCATTTCCAGTTCCTATGCTTCTGTGATAGCTTTCTCACTGCCCATCTTCAGTAGGGCACAACCATGCTGCAGCAAAAAGAGCCAGGACACCCACGTAAACAGCTATGTTGCTATAACGTAGAGTGTGTGGGTAGACACACCGGGCCGGCATGTGCCAAGTCCGACCCTGTGTTCCGGTCAGCAGCCTTCTCACTTTAGTCTCAGGGCTGACTGTGCCTGAGCTCTGACATGTCCTACGGTCCCTGGGGCTACTTCCGTGTGGGCTCCAGGCTTGGCAGAAGGCAGGGCCTGAGACGGGGGTGTGTGCGACTCATCCTTCATCACGGCCTGTGCCGTGGCCTGCAGCTCTGATGGTGGTGTACTGGAATTCCACACTTTCCGCTTGCTCCTCTCTGTCAACCCTGCTCACAGCAGTTGCCACACTTCCTGCGACTGGATGGAAAGGGAAAGAAGGAAAAGGTCATGTTAAAGCCAACAGAGAACACAAAGTAAGTGCAGGCAGAGGGTAGTTTTCTGCTGGGAGAAGAGTGCCGAGGACACGGACATCATTATTACTGACCGTGCTGCACCTCCGTGTGGTCAGTGCCTTTTCACACTGGCATGGACGCTAACTGACAGTCTGTTTTATTTTGTGGCAGCAGATTTGTATTGATTAAATATAAGCACTACACTGGGCTTCCACTCAGCTTCTTTTCTTTCGTTCCCAGAGGGATTCTTCATGTCCCCTCCATGTTAGAATGCACCTGCCTTCCCTGATGACTGAGTCCTTGCCTTTCTCTGCAGATGGCGTCTGGCAGGAAGGGAAGGCCTCCGGAGCCGTGTACAACGGGGAGGAGAAGCTCACCGAGCTGCTCGTGCAGGTGAACGCAGGGCCTGAAGGGAGCGTGCGGGCGCTCTCCCCGTGTGCTCGACTTCGCTTCTTCCTTGTGTCCTCACAGCAGCTTACTTAAGGATAGTGTTGCATAAAACCTTAGAACTTCACACAGGCTCTCTTCATCCTAACGTGAATTCAGGTTAATCTTGTCAGAGACACTTCTGGTCAAATGTTACTCTTCTAGGCTTTACAGAGGCTTCGTGGAGAAGGCATATTACTAGGAAAGGTACTCTGTCATTTGAGATTTTTATTTTTCATTTTTTGTTTATTTTTTAATTTTTATTTTAAAGAGAATAAAACCAAGCAAAATAAAACAGAATAAAGCCAATCAAAACAAAACAGTGAGACACAGGATTTCAAAACAAGATAATAGGAAATCAACAGTGGTTACCATATGCCTCTTGTTGTCTTGAAAATAGCTGCCTATACCTTGAGATGTAGTGAAATGAGGCAAAACCGAACAAAATAGAATGAATAAAAGCAAAACAATGACTGCAGTATAGGACTTCAAAACAAGATACTGGCAAATCCAAAATGGCTACGGTAACAGTTGAGATTTTTAACGGACCAATTCTGTTTGGTAAGAAGGAACAAGATAGATACAGTAATAATTTCTTCAGATCATATGACCTGAGAGATCATTCTCAGTCTTTGTTGACTTTAGAATGGTCTGTGGCCTCCTCCATTTCTGATCAAATGAAATTGTGTATGTGTGTGTGTGTGTGTGTGTGTGTGTGTGTGTGTGTGTGTATGTGTGTGTGATGTTGAGGATTGAACCCAGTGTATTACACATGCTAGGCAAGTGTTTTATCACTTTGATTATCCCAGCCCTAATCAAATTTATTTTTGAAGTCCAGTTCATCATGTAAATTTGGGGTTGTACTAATGATCTGTAAGGGCTTTGTGTTTGATAGTTAACTATGAACTGTGCACACCTTACTGTGTTGTAAGTTACTTCTGTGTTTAAAGTCTTTTTAATAGTTCCTCGTTTCTGTGGAGTAAAGCGCAAGTTGTGACGTGTCAGGGAATGTGAGTCCCACCCTGAGTCAGTGCCCACTTGTGTAACCTCTCCTGGTACCGTCCCACGTGAACACTTAGCTCCTGTCTTTCTGTACTGAATGCCACGTTCAGTCTTGCTGCCTTCCTGTCCTCACTGCTCGTGTTCCTTGTGATGAATTCCTGTTCCTCTCTCGGCGTTTCACTTAGCAGACCCTTTGAAGAGCCGTCAGCACATTGCGCTCTGCCTTCCTCGGGGTCTCAGTGCTGTGCACAGAAACCTAGTCTTGCCCTCAATAACAGTAGCAGCTTTATGCCAGGCACCTTCATCAGTGTTTTGAATGCAGTATGTTGCTTGCTTCTAGAACTCTGTAAGATAGGTTGCACGATTATCCCTCTTTGCATACAGGGAAACTGAGCGTCAGAGAGTTATTTGATATACACAGCTAAAAGCAATAGGCAAAGCTACGACTTTGAATAAGATCTGTTGGTGTCTGCTTTTAACTATATTTACACTTCTTCCCTTATCACTTGTAAAATAATTTATTTGCATGTCTAACTCATCCACTATATTTTGATTTTCTTGAAGGGGAAGAATATATGTCTTTCCAGCCTTTGGGCTTAGTATCTTGAAATTTATATTTAGTGCCTGAGTCTTTGTTCTGTGCACTGCAGCAGTAATCTTAATCTCACATCCTCTTGTGTTTCTTCACAGGCTTATGCAACCTTTGTGTGGAGTAACCCACTACATCCAGATATTTTCCCAGGAGTACGTAAATTAGAGGCAGAAATTGTGAGGATGGCTTGTTCCTTGTTCAATGGAGGACCAGATTCTTGTGGATGTGTAAGTATATGCAGATAGCATCAAATAATTTTACTTTTCAAGCTCAAAATGGAAGGGTTTATGTATTACGGATTGGGGATATAGCTTAGTGGCTGAGTGCTTCCCTAACATACACAAGGCTTGAATTCAATCCCCAGTTTTTATATATTAAAAAAATAAAGGTAGCTCATGCCTGTCTCTAAAGCCAGCTTCTCTGGAGACTGAAGCAGGAGGGTCTCAAATATGAGCCCATTTTGAGGAACTTAATGAGAACCTGTCTCAGAAGTGGCTGTGGATGAACCTCAGTGCTTTCTGGAATCAGTCCTCAGTACTGTAATTATATGACTGTTGTAGAAAGATGTAGATTGAGTGGGATTTAAAAACTTAAACTTACCTTTAAGTCAGTGTTTTATTCTCAGCAGTGGTTTTTTGTTCCATGCTGTTCCTGGTGTGTTTATTAGTTCTACTTTGGCACCATCCACTACTTTATACTTTCAGGTCTGAATCTTATTCTATTGACTCATTGTTTCGTGTTTGAATTGTTTCCTTGGAAATCTTACAATTTTCTAGAATGGAGAAACAGTTTTGAGGAATTGTCTTCTGTTCTTTAGCTTGTGTTGTTCTCAGTTGGGCTTTTGTTCTGAATATTGCACATACCCGCTTTCCCACTCTTCAGTTTTTTGCACAGTTACTGCTTTCTTTATCTGGACCCATCCTGGGGTGCCTGTTTCTAAACGGTCTATTTGTTCTGACACACAGTGCGTGACTGCTTGTCTGCCACCGTTTGATTAGAGGCAGGATGTAGCGAAGGCTTCATTGTGGCTGTGCTAGAATTTCTAAGTCTGTTCTTCTGAGGGTAAAGTTTTCTCTCTGTTCAAATAGAACAATGCATTTTGAACTTCAGTTCATCCTGCATTCCTGAATTTTCACTCAAACGGACAGCTCGGATGTGCTCTCTTCCTGTTCTGCTGATTTTCCTCAGCAGCCATGTCCTCCACTCCAAAAGAGGAAGATCGAGAAAGCCCTTATGTGTGCTTTTCTGAAGATTTCTGGGGCCTGTTAATGAGAATTCTCAGGATTTTTCTGATTCCCCAGTATTTCCAGAGTCAGTCAGGAACTGTCTTACTGTGCTTCTGTTACTTGTGTACATTATTCTTTGTTTTTTCTCCTGTTTGTTCTTTTTTTTCTCTTCTTTCCTTCCCTCTTTTCTTGTCTTTCCCTCCGACGTGGCTTTCCTTTCATTTCTCTTCAGTGTTAGGGATTGAATTCAGGGCCTTGTGTGTGCTAGGCAGCTCGTCTTACCACTGAGCTACATTCCCAGCCTGTTCCCCGCCCACCTTCCTTCCTTCTTCTCTCCCTTCCTTCTTTCCTTCTCTCCCTCCCTCCTTCCTTCCTTCCATTTATTGAAACATAATCTTGCTAAGTTGCCTAGGCTCTCCTTGAACTTGAAATCCTTATCTTATGCCTCAGCCTTCCAGGTAGCTGAGAGTACAGGTGTGCATCACTGCGCTTGGCTTGCTCACCCCTCTCCCTTCCTGCATCCCTCCTTGTCCGTCCTTCTTTCCTTCCTTCCTTCCTTCTTTCCTTCCTTCCTTCCCCTTTGCTTCTTGTCCTATTGTCCCCTTTCCCCTTTATCTCCTTCTCCTCTCCTCACCTCTCTGTCCCCCCTTCTCTTTCCGTTACTTGATTCCAATATTTGAAGTTTATCACATTAGATTAACTTTTTATCTGATGGTTGTTGTTACAGGTTTTGCATCTTTGTTTGTTTCATTTGTATTCATTCTCTTGGCTATTAATGGAAAGGAACTCTTTGAAGGAGTTTCTCTCTTCCATCTTAATATGGAAACCCAACCCTAGAGGCTTTTGAGTTGCCATAATTCAATCATATCTCTGCCATTGTGACTTTCTTAATGGCTGTGGCAGGGATCTGGAACGGTTAGAGTCTGATTCCTAGTCTCTTTCAACATTTAGACTTCCATAAGAGGACTAACTAGCTGTGGTATTATTTGAATCTTCCTCTCCCGTTTTTCCTGTCTCCTCTCCATTTCTCCTCCATTTGGATCTGTTTCAGTTTCAATCTCTGAAACTACTTTTGGTGAAGACAGAGTTCAGCATTCAGAGGTAGGATGCAAGAAGACTAGGTTATTCCTGACAAAGGGTCTTTCTTTGCTCATTCTTTGTTTTTTAACCTTAATCTTTCCTATTACTAATTTCATTTGCCTCAGTTACAGTGGATGAGAGGCAACAATGTCCCAAAAGATACTAGTTCTCATGTGGAGTATTCTTGGCTTGTGCAAATGCCAGTAGGTACAAAAAGATTTGAACGAAAAGTTCTTATTTTCTGAAATACATATGTGCTACATATATATGTTGGACAAACTCAAGTAATATGATAAGTAGTTAACTGAAAATGCCATTTTCTTCACAATTTCTGTTTTTCTTTGGGCATAAGAGGTGGAAAGAAGTAGAAGAGTTACAGCATTTTTAAACACAGAATTTAGGGTTCAAAATTTCAAATTAGCAGTGAAATTTAGGTATTCCTGCTTTTATAGTCAAAAGTACAATGGTATTTGCCCAGTATAAAACTAATGAGGTTGATTTGATTAGTTGTTGGCCTGCAAGTAGAGAATAGGGCACATGAAGCAAGTGACCAGGACTTTGGAAATACTTTTGCTTACATCATTCCTGGGCCTTAGTAAGAGATTGCTGAGCTGGAGACGCTTTGTGGTTTCCTTCGGGGCCTTTCTTCCTAGCTGGCTGGCGCACCATGTGACACGTCTCATGCTAGACCACAGGCCATGCTGATTTGTAGAGCTGACCTCAGCTGTGGCAGTTTGTCTTCCCCAACTTAAAATGCAGATATCTACAAACAAGTTATTTTGTGGATGAAGATAGACAACTTGCTGAGTCAAAACTTAACTCTTCTGAGTAATCTTCCATATAACTCCTGACCCCTGTGATTTTATAACCAGCGATATTTTTGTCCTGTATTTGGATATGAGGAAAGTTTAATAACCACTGTCTTTCATTCCATCTCACTTTATGCTTCATTAAGTAGCAAAACATAACATGTTTTACTTTGTGTCATCAAATATTAATAGATGACACTAAGGAATTGCTTAGGTATTTATTTTTCTCACCTTTGAAAAGAAAAACCTAATATTATTTGAATCTTTGGAAATGGTAAATTTAAAAGGTTGCCCTGTTAACTCAGTGTTGATAGCCTTTTGCTTGCTTTGGTATTAACTCATTCTCAGATGTTATCAAAATATAGTCAGGTGACTATGGCAGCTTATTTTGGTCATGGTTTTGTTTTGCTTACAGATAAGTAAGGTAACCAGCTTCTAAGTAGAAACTTCTTTTTTCTGGCTTTTAAACTTGTCAAAACCACAAGTTCACTCTGGAAAGTCTGAATGTCTCTCTGAAACCTAATGTTTTACACAATTTATTAGAATTGTAACTTCACAATTTCACGTTCTTTGAACATGCACTAAACTTTTAAAACAAAATCTGTTCTGGCCTGGGGATGTAGCTTAGTAACTGAGCGTGCCCCTGCGCTGAAGGAAAAGTCAGGAACCCTGCTATTTTTGAGTGGTATAAAATGCCATATCCTAAGTGAAAATTGATGAGTACAGAAATGTATGTGGATTATCAACAGATTGGATCTGAGTCAGTGCACGTCTGTCCAGACAGTGCTGATGCCCTGTTCTTTCTTCTTTAGTTTTCATTATTCTTCTGAACTAAGTCTGGACTTAGCAACAAACCCAAGTTTTCCTCTAGAAGACAGAGCGGTATCTGCCCTGCAGCATACATCCGAGTCCTCATTTCTCTGTGTCAAACCTTGTCAAGATCACTGTAGGCAGTACATGCTGATATCTGTCCCTAACTCACCACTGTGAATGGCATCTCTTCTTTATTTTAGATGACCTCAGGGGGGACAGAAAGCATACTGATGGCCTGCAAAGCTTATCGGGACCTGGCATTAGAGAAGGGGATCAAAACTCCAGAAATGTGTGTATGACGGTTTCCCACTGTGAGATTGCCCGTTTGGGGTACTGTATGTGGAACTGGGCCTAATAATGTTCCCTGCTTCTCTTCCTCAGCAGTTGCTGTTCTCTTTACCCCTGCCCTGATCCTTCTACCCTTCTTAACCTTTTACTTTGGCAGGATTCTAAATGGATAAGCCAGTTATCCTCATGGATCATTTCCAATCCTGCAAGTTTATATGTGTGTATACTACAAGTAGGGATGAGCTTTTCTTTCCAAAAGTGACAGAGTTAGAGGACTATATCTTTATATTCTGTGATTTTTCTTTTTTTGGTTTTTTGAGACAGGGTCTTGCTTTGTAGTACAGCTGGCCTTGAACTCACTCTGTAGCCCAATGTGGCCTTGAACTTGAAGCAGTTCTGCCACAGCCTCCCGACTGCTGGGATTACAGGTGTGCACCATGATTCTTGGCTTGTGATTTTAAAAAAAAATACTGTAAGTTATCTGGAGCCTAAGGAAAATCGTAGTTATCTTTAATACTGTGCATTTCTTAAATATATACTGCATTGGAGTGTTTCCTGGGAGTATTTCAGTCTGAGGCCTGTTTCAAGGAAGGAAGGTTTTAAAAGTCTCAGAGATTTGAGATTGTTGCTACCTATGGGCATAATTTTCATGATTGAATGACTGTCTCCTGTACAGTGTGCTTATACTACTGGGTTAATTTTTTTCTATAGCAGTCAGTGACTAAGGTTTTTTCTTTTTTTAATTGCTCATGGCTCAGGCTGTAATTCATACTTTAGTTTATAAGAAGAAATCATTCTGGGGCTGGGGATTTAGCTCAGCGGCATAAGCGCCTGCCTTGCAAGCGCATGGTCATGAGTTAGATCACTGGTACCGGTAAAAAAAAAAAGAAGAAGAACTCATTCTACCATTCTTGCCTCCTATGTGAATGTTTGATGTTGGGAACTTTATGGAGATTTTTTTTTTCTCTTAAAAAGAGCAGAGTAGTGAAAACGGTGGAATAAATAAGGGAAGCCTGAAGGCAAGTATGTGCCTGTGACTGGGTTTCCTCTTTCCACACTATTTGAAGTACTATTTCCAAGTGTGTAGGAAAAATAGGGATTTTAGTTTCATAGAATTATGATCTTCAGAGTTCGAGGGCCCATTGACCTGATGCCTGGCTGCTGCATTCATGTCCCTGCCAAGCAGCACACGTTCCTCTGAGAATGTGTATTGTGTCAGGAAACTTTTGCTGCTGTGATCCATTCCTCTGTCCCTGGACCTTATCCTGTCAGGCCTTGTTTATGCTTTGGAGCCTTCATACTGAATTACTTTTGGGTTCTTGTTCCTGTTGCCAGAACGATTTCCTAAGTAGCAGGGAAAAAGTTTCTACAGGATGTTAGCTGGCCTCTTTTTGTTTATGGTCTGAAAAGAAAATGATGTAAAACATTAACTTGAGGAAAAATAATCAGAAGTTTACTCCTGAAGGTTTAGATTAGCTGGCAGCTTTATACTTTCTTGAGTCCAGTTTTGGTCTGAGTTCACTCTTCTCCTCTTCCCCATCATCTAGAGTGGCTCCCGTAAGTGCCCATGCTGCATTTGACAAAGCAGCCAGTTATTTTGGGATGAAGATGGTTCGGATCCCTATGAACAAGATGATGGAGGTTGATGTGCGGGTAGGTCCTCTGGAGGCGGAGAGGTGGAGTGTGCATCATGTTGACTCCTTTTCGGTCACACGTGGGTGCCCTCCACCCTCGCAGAATTTAGCAGTCAGATCATGTGGCTCCTGACTTAGGATGTTAAAGACCTGTTTTTTACTTTCAGTACCATCACTTCCTCTCCCATTTATCAAATGAGCATCAGTGAACTTGCTCCAAGACTCATCTGTGGTTTTGATTGCCTGAATTAATGCATTCATGGTTTTTATGCCTCACATTTCTGCAGAACTTACTTCATAATTTCAGAATCACATTTGAGCTTTCAGATAGTCTATCTAGGTTGTCAAACCTGTAAACATCGTTGCATTTCACAAAGGAGGCTGAGCCCTTCCCTTGAGAGTCTCGGTGCTAGTGGACTGGGCCTTCACTTGGCTCCTGTGCCACTTAGCGCAGTACCGTCCCCCACACACAGTGGTTCTTACCTGGCGCTCTCGGTTTCGAGCCTGGCTGGGGTATCTGTGCCCTGCCCACTGGTGGGAGGCAGGCTCCTAGGCTGCTGTGACAAAGGTGGCACTAGTGGACCCAGGACTCTTACGTTAGTGGCCCCGAGTACTCTCAGGCAGCAGAAGAGAATAACTGAGCTAGGTTCTCGTTTTTTCTTTTGAACTGAAATCCCTAGGCAATGAGAAGAGCCATCTCCAGGAACACCGCTATGCTCGTCTGCTCTGCGCCACAGTTTGCTCATGGTGTGATGGACCCCATCCCAGAAGTGGCCAAGGTGATGAGAGAATTGGGTCACTGGGGCCGTCAGAATGAGACCTTAAAATAGAATCTAATGGTGTAGTACTTGGCAAGTAGAAGCAGTTTCGGATTATCGTAGCAGTGATGAATAGCTCTCATCAGTCCAGGACTGAGCCCTGCAGCTCTGTTTAGAGCCTTTGAAAGTCACTAGCTTCTACTTCAGATAACATGAACCCAAGGCTTGTCTTTTAACTAGATATTCTGAAATGGTATTCACTTTTCAGTTCAGATTAGGAAGAACTGTGCATTTAGGAACGGTCATCCGCAGGGGCCTCCATAGCATCTCCCCTCCACCCTTTGCAGGGATGTGCAGGACCTTCCCCTCCACCATCGCTGCCTGAGAGAAATCTTACTTGATGGTGCAGGGAATTTGAGGTCATGTACATTTAAATAAACTAGATATCACAATATAGATGGATTATTTTCAAGACTAAATACAGCGGATGGATAAACTTTCTTAGGAATGTCAAAAATAGCCAGTTTTTAACACATGGGAGATACAGTACAGAATAGCTTTGTGGTGATAGCAAGCATTTCCACCCATGTCCTGCCAAGTTTTTACTATAGGGCTGTTAAATGAAATTCTGTTTTGTTTTTTGTTTTTGGAAACTAGCTGGCCATCAAATACAAAATACCTTTGCATATAGATGCTTGTCTGGGGGGTTTCCTCATCGTCTTTATGGAGAAAGCAGGGTACCCACTGGCAAAACCTTTTGATTTCCGGGTCGAAGGTGTGACCAGCATTTCGGCCGACACTCATAAGGTAAGCTAATTGAGGAGACAGAATGCTGACCGTTATTTTAACTGTTGCCCACAAAAAATAAGTTGGCTAAATCATCACCTTTCACTCAAAGTGTCAAATTAAATCTGGCTTTTTTCTCCCGCCTCATCAGCTATTCAGATGATGCAATATATAATAAAAGTGAAAAGCAGTAATGAAAAGGTGGCTGTTAACTTTGTCTCATTGGCTGTGGAAATCTCCATCATGCCGATAGCATTTACCTGGGGTCTGCCAGCCTAGGCTCTTTACGACAAAGTCTTCTAAAGCCTGAGCTTGTTGGAGGTGGCCGGGGAGAAGGTGAAGGTTGATCTTGGAATTTGAAGAGAGCAGCTCTTAATACCACTGCTTCTGTGCTCTGGGGGCCTGGCCTGAGTGTCAGAAATGTGTTGGTAGAGGAGTCCTTTGGGAAAAGAAGCCCCTGTACTCAGGCCTCCAGTGACTGAAATGTCTGTGTCCGCCACCCTCAGCAGACTGAAGTGTAGGTCAGACGGGAACTCTTCTGAAAATACATCCATATGAAGAAGTAGTACTAGAAATCTCAGGAATGTGTGCCTTGTTTTATTTTGGGGATACTGGGCATTGAATGCAGGTCCCTTGCATTGACCTGTATCCGCAGCCTGTTTTTCATTTTGTGGCAAGAGCTCGCTGAGTTGCTTAGATTGGGCTTGAGCTTGTGACCCTCTCGCCTCAACCTCACAGAGTGTTAGGATTATAGGCATGTACTACCATGCTTGGCTGTGTGCACTTTGTTTGATTGTATTTTCAAAATTCCTTTTAAGCTAAAGACTTGTTTTTTAAACTCTAAATGATCTGCAATAAATTTTTATTCAGACTCTGTTTTGCCTTACCATCCAGACAGCTCCTATGTCCTTTTCTGTTAATCATCCATCTCTGTGTGGGTTAGGAATGAAATTGTAGTTCCGTGTTAGCTTCAGTTAGAGTTAATTAGGAGAGCCCATTTTCTGTGAGGAAACCAATTGCACAGTACATGTTCAAGCTGAATTGAAGTGTTTTTGGATTCTGAGCACCACTGTATTCTTAAAAAGATGTGTAACATTGAGCAGAAAGATGGGAAGGGATCAGACTGATGTTTAGTTGCTCCAGGTGGCTTGGATTTCACTCTTACCAGGCTTCCAGTAGAAATTATCTTTGTTTGTACCCTGGCTTACCAACCCCAGAGAAAGATTTTAAATAAGGACTGTTTCCTGTTGGATGAGAGAGGAAGGAAATCACTCACTGAGCACAATGCTGTTCTCTACCTTCTTACTATGACAGAGAACCTGAACTCTGTCCCTTAAGTTCCTTCTGCTCATGAGCTAATCTGAGCCCTTGGTGTGAGTGGGAAACATTACCAAGATCTAATATGTCAGTGGTGTGCTCTGGGCCAGGGCCTCCAGGCCCAGTCTCATTCTCACCTGTCTGTTTCTCTCCTAGTATGGCTATGCCCCCAAAGGCTCATCAGTTTTGTTGTATAGTGACAAGAAATACAGGAAGTACCAGTTCTTCATTAGCACAGATTGGCCAGGTGGCATCTATGCTTCCCCAAGCATTGCAGGCTCACGGCCTGGTGGCATCATTGCAGCTTGTTGGGCCACCATGATGCACTTCGGTGAGAATGGCTATGTTGAAGCTACCAAACAGATCATCAAAACTGCTCGCTTCCTCAGATCTGAGTATGTATGGAAGACGGGGGTTCTTTCCGCTTTGTCTCTTCCTTTTTCCACCAGTCAGCCTTTCAAGGCAGCTGCCTGGCTGCACACTCATAACCCTGCCCATTTGCTATCTCCTGAGAGACGAAGGGTTTAGGACAGTGGCTTAGGAGTTGTGCAGACAGGAAGAGAAGGTCCCTACTCTGCATGGGACTCAGGAGTTGGGGTTTGGCCTTGGGATATTTCTAATGTCTGTCCATGTTTCTGATCTTCATAAGAACTGTGATCCCGGCCTAGTCTTTGTGTGGAAGATGAGAAGACTAAAAACCTCAGAAGGCTAGAGGGTTATAAGGAAGACTTGAGATGATTAGAGAGATGCTGAGCAGCGGAACATAATGTGGCTGAATTTCCTGTTTGTTTTCAGACTGGAAAATATCAAGGGCATCTTTGTTTTGGGGGATCCTCAGTTGTCAGTCATTTCTCTGGGCTCCCATGATTTTGACATCTACCGGCTGTCTAACTTGATGACTGCTAAGGGGTGGACCTTGAACCAGCTGCAGTTCCCACCCAGGTATGCTTGAAGGACCTCCTCTCTTCCCTGTGTCCATGGCTTTTGAAAAACTTGGGGAGCAAGCAAACCCGATACAAAGAATCTACCTGGTAGAACCCGGCTCTTCAGTAGCAGCAGTATTTGTGGGATTTGTCTCTTGCCATCTGGAATAATTAGATGTAAATAGTTAGACGTTTAGCTTTCACCTGTGGCAGAATGAGGTGCCAGCCTCCTGATACAAGTGCTTATTTATAAGGTTTCTTCCCTATTCTTTAGCTTCTGTAACCCTCTAGTCCATCTCCTACACAGCCTTCAAATTGCTTGTATAAGGTACTTATTACCTGGGTAATATTTAACTCAAAACCCTCAAGAAGGTGCCTGAGGAGTCAGACTTCCTACTGGGTTTTTTAGTCTTCTAAGGTGCCTTTAAATGTTCCTCTCCAGCACAGTGGGTCAGTTCAGCGTCTTTTATACAACAGATTACCTTTTCATAGGTTGCTGCCATTGCTAGCCCCATGTGGACTTCCCCTTTGCCTCTTCACAATCTTCTATATTCCATCAGAAGCTGAGTTTGTTTCTTCCCTTCCTTCAAGGCTCCAGCCGTATAGTCCTGTCCACATGAGGACTCATCATCTAAGATAAAAAGCATCCTATTGGTGCTCATATGGTTAAAGCAGTTGTGATTGGCAGTTATAAGGGGTGGGACAAAAACCCAGCTGTGCTTATTCTTAGATGGTTCCGGGTCATGCTGAGAAGCCCTGATACCAGCTCTGCTTAGCAAACCCAAGTACAGTATTGGAGATCCCCAATTCCAAGAACTGGAACAGTAGAAATAATCTGAAAAGACAGCCAGTAAATTGAGGACTGCTTTATTTTAAAACACTTTTTCCATTTTCAAGCTTCATCTCCCTTTCTTCTTCCATAGTATTCATATCTGCATCACGTTAGTACATACACGGAAGCGAGTAGCAATCCAGTTCTTAAAGGACATCCGGGAATCTGTCACCCAAATCATGAAGAATGCTAAAGCAAAGGTCACAGGAATGGTAAAGACACTTGGAGATTATTTCCCCCCCTTGGAAATTTAGGTATTGATGTGGGAGTTTGAAAGAATCAGACAGTTGGAGGCTATTCTTGGCTGAGCCCATTATTGCCTGTGAACCTCCTTCTTGTTAGTTTATTGTTGCCAGTGACCCCTGCCTCGCCCATTCCTAGGTTTGATGAGCATGTCAGATGAGATCTACTGTATATAAAGCACCTTGTGAATTTGAAACTGCTGTACAAACATAGGTGGCAATGTCCCTTTGAAAAGAAATTTTTGACATAGACTGTAAACATGTTTTTTTTTTTTTTGCATTTTTTCCCCAGCAAATTTTATAAACTAGTTCCTTTATATAGAAGGGGAGACTGGAAAGTACCTGTGAAAACTGTGCCACTGCCAGCTGTTTTTCTAATGGAATGAGACCTAGAAGGGAAGTGGACAGGGGGTGTTGTGCTTTGAAAGCTAGGATGGGGAAAAGGGGATCATAATCACAGCTTTACCCTTGTTTCTGTACTTGTCACTAATTCATCCTTGATTGGTTTTGTAGGGTGCCATCTATGGCATGTCCCAGGCAATCATTGACAGGAACCTGGTGGCAGAAATCTCCTCGGTCTTCTTGGACAGCTTGTACAGCACGGATGCTATAACCCAGGGCAACCAGATGAATGGTTCTCCGAAACCCCGCTGAGCATGGGCCTTTACTGGTTCCTGAGGATCCTGGCCTTCAGAAGGTTCCTCTGGGTGTGGAACAGGTCACTCACAACTTTGACATCTTATCTTGCTCCATAGAGCACAAAGATAGGCCATAAGACAACTTGAGCCTCAGGATTCTTGTTCCTCCTTTTGTTACTTTTTGTGATTTTAAATTTGAAGACCTTGGGGCTGGGGATTTAGCTTGGCAAGCTCTAGGTTCGATCCCCGGTACAAAAAAAAGAAGACCTGGAAGGATTTTACTGTATAACGAACCTATTCTGGTTAGAAATGTAGTAGTAGGAATTGTTTTAACCATTTCTTTCTTTAACTTCTCTAGTCCCCCCCCCCCCCCTAATCATTGTGTGGTGGCTCTGACCTGGAGGGAAGCTATGCAATCACAGAGGGTCTGTTACCCAGGCAGAGGCTTTAGCTAGCCAGGTGGGAGGCATTTATGTAACAGTGTTTCCCAGGTGAGTGTTTGGAGCACCTTAGGTGACAGGCTTTCTCAGCCCTGTGCTTAGAGTAGGTCAGATGTCTCTGGTAGAATCACTTCCACTGCAGCTTGCTCTGTTTTTGCAGGGTACAGGTTGACCATAACGTACCCTGTGTGTGGGGAAGCATGGCTGCTCGAGTAGCCATGGCAGCGTTTATAGTGCTCCACTACTTGCAGGCCCATTTGATAAACAGTCGCCTCTGTTTTTGGAGATGCTTATTTGAAGTGATGCTCCCATTACCTTGTTTTCTGTAGAATAGGATGAGAACATGGTTATCAGAGGATCAAGGACTTTCTGGCTGTGGTCCTGCCTCCTTGACTTGGACAGCGGCCAGAGCACACCTAGCCCTCTCCTGGACCTAAGATGAACAGACACCAGACCCTTTTCTGTACTTCCTGCATGCCATCATAGGTGAACACCCAGTTTCAATTATGTGTTGCCAGATTTGGTGGCAGTCCTCTGCTTCCCATTGCCTTCAGCCATGTGATGAGAGTGTGCTCACTGAAGGAGAGCTCAGAGCACCTCCGCAAGTGGCCTTCACTTACCCTAAGTGGGTATGAGGAGAGTGCAGGGAACATGTTTCCTCCATTCGTGTGCTCTTCCTGCCCATTTCCCTGTGCCCAGCTTCCAAAGGTACTTTGGCAGTTTATCCTCAGGCACTGGGTACCCCTCAGCCCTTGCTAAAAGGGAGCAGTGTAGGATTAGGTATACATTTGGGAATTGGATAGTATGGTGGCGAGCAGACATTGTGGCCCTGGGCCTAGGAGTCTTTCATAAGACCAGCTGCTCAGGGTGGTGCAGGGACAGGAAAAAATTCTGTACCCACTTGCTACTCTCTTCTTCATGTCTGGGGGCCCCTGATCTAGGCTGAGTCACTGTCCTGCTCTAGCGACATACCATGTGCCTTTCTCTTAACAGTGGGCTCTTCTTGTTCTGGCCCCAGGGAAGTAGACCAGACTTTGAGATTTCTGTGCAGATTGGAGAGAATTTAGAGCAAGTGAGGAGGGACTTGGCTCCCTTCACCTTCTCAGGGACTCCTGAATATGCAGGTTCTTCTGCAGATGCTGTCATCTGCCCCCCTCACTGGGGAATGCTGGCTGAGGGCACCACAGCCACCAGACTTTCCCCCAGGGCCGTGTCTTTGCAGAGCTTGTGTGGTCCATGCATGCATATGTGCATCCCTCCTGTTTGCAATATATTGTGGGGTTCAAGAATGGTGGGCTGTTGGGTATGTCAGGGTAAGGCGAAGACCTTTAGGACATAGGAATCGTATGCTTCCTTCAGTTGCTGGGCTGGTAGGTACCTCCTTGAGAGAAGCTGCCATCTAAGCTGTGAAAAAGTTACCCTGGTCTCCAATTCATCATTTTGGAGGAGGCCTAAAGACCCAGAGCTACCAGCAGGTACTATTACGGCTGCTGGCTGCTAAAATAGAAGGCCATGCCTCACAGTCTCTCTGGGATCAGACCCTAAGCTGCTTACTTCCTCTGTGCTGTAACCGAATTAGTGCCAGGGGCTGATGGCGTTTTGAAAGATACCTATTACAGCCATTTTAATTTCTAATTAAGAGTCTTGGTTTGATTTAACGCTTTTGTAGGCTTTTCATTTTTGTGTGTATTTGTGTGTGAAAGCACAGAATACCTGTTCTGTGGCAGGTAGGATGTCTTAGTAGTATCATGTTGCTAGCAGATGTGAGATTGGCCTCTGCACCCCATTTTATACTTGGAAAATGGTACTTGCCTCTTTTAAGTCTTTTCTCTAACCTCCCTCTGCCTGTCTGCATGTTCCTTTCCTAACTGCAGCAATAATCTCTTAAAAAGCAATTAAATAATTAAATATCCTAAACTGTACTCACTGGATGGTTGTATTTGTTTACTTGGGCTGCTGACGAGAGATTGCCCCCTGCTGGGGAAAGCATTATGCCTGACCATTGATGCCAGGGCCAAGGGACTCAAGCCATCTGCAGGCCCGCTGATCTCCAAGCACACAGATAGCTCAACAGTCTCTCTCTATACCAGGAGTAGTCATGACTGTTTTGAGGCAGACTGGAATGCAAGACCTTAGTTCTCCAGGAAAAAAAGGTCCTTTCTTATATTTTCTGCCATCTTTTGCTTACAACTTACTGATGGATTAAGCCATCTGGGTGGTTTCTAGCCAGCCTGGCACGTGGCTTTGCCTGCACAAGACACTGACCTCAAGCTTAGTATTTGGATGGGGCCAAGTAGAGCTCCTCAGATGATCTTCAGATGTGTAACTGCTGGGCATCTTGTTTCATTCTGAGTGAAAAAACCGAGACTCCCCACACAATTAGTCAGGATATGATCCTTCTCATGCAGGCAACCTGCTTTATACTTGGGCTTTCAGCCCTTTCAGGGTTTGCTAGAAAGCAGACAAGGAATGATGTTTTTGCTGTGTTTCCTGCCAGACAGCCTGGTACCCTGAACACCTGCACACCCTGAGAAAGAGAGGCCAGCATGTGCTTGCACTGGGAGGCTGGGCTGACCTGGCAGGTAGCACTTGCGGGTGCTGGTGTTGGCCCTTGTGCTGTAAGTCCCTTTGCTGTGGTTTCCTGGCACCAGTGAGCAGCGTTCAGCTGGACCCAGCTTGACAGAAGTAATGACTGAGACCAGCTCTAGCCCAGGTGGGCAGAAGTCGGGCTTGGAGAGCCTTTTCTTGATTTGAAGCCTTAATGGCCTTACTTCCACTTAGGCTTTAATCCCTGTCATAATTTCTTCTCTGCCTAATATCCTCCCCAATAATTGCAGTTATTTGGATTAATTTTAGAATAAAGTTATTTATTTTTGAAAAGTGTCACCCATGTCTTTGAACCACACAAAAGTGTCATACAAATGCCAGAGCTGAATTTTTCAGCCCTTGACCCATGATAAGCAGCAGAGGCAAAAAGGCAGCATGGCATGGTCCTTAGCTCCATGTCTGGTGTCTTCTGCACTAATCCTCGGTTTTTAAGTCAAAGCATACTTCGAACACTTTAGTTAGAAGTGGAGCAGGTAAGAGCACTGTCTGGGTCTTGGACTTGATGTTAAGTTCTGGAGAGAAGCTGCCATCAGTGAAGTGTTAATGGGCCAGAATGGGCTCCTGCCAACCCTCTTGACTATATTTATTACCCAACCATCAACCTCTGCCTCTTTTTTAAGTTGCTCCTTAAAGGAGCACCTCGGCCCAGCTGGCTGGTTGTGGCCTTGCAAGATGCCTGCTCCACGTGAGCATGCCATTGTGGATCACCTGGGCCCAGGGAGGACTTCAGGCTAACGTCATTGGTGGGAGCTGCTGGGAGACAGGCTTCCTCTCTGGCTTGGGCACATGTGAGCTGGTGTGTGTGGCATGCACACTGGGTGGAGTATGCACACCGGGTGGAGCAGAGCACATCGGAGGATGCTTCTGTCCTGGAGCTGCTGGTTGACAGCCGAGAGGAGCAAATGTGTCTGTGACTGCTCAGATGGTACAAAGCCTGCCAGCCCCTACCTGCATTTCTTTCTACCCTCTCTTTACAGAGCAAAAGCAGGTGAGCCCAAGACCTTGATAAGATTCTAACAACTTTGGACACCATGAAGATTAAAATGCTCCCCTCTGAGGTTTACGCTAGTATATTAGGGTTTTCCAGGGAAACACCCAATTCATGTGGTAAGGAAGAGGAGATTGCCCAGAAGAATAAATCACTTCTCTTGTCATCTCAGTAGGAACAGGTATTTTGTTTTGTCCTGAGAGGGTCTCACTGTATAATTCAGACTGGTCTTGAACTCACTACATAGCTCAGGCTGGCCTCCAACTTGTGACCCTCCTCCCTCAGCCTCCTGTGTGCCTGGACTGCAGGCGTGTGCCATCACGCGGGGCTGCCTCTCAGGAATCCTAGTCAGGCTTTGAGGCATAACTCCGTCTCCTTTCTCACAAATCCCCGTGTTTGCTAAGGTCATTTCTTATGCTGCCATCCATATTGACTTGAGTTCATCCTGCCTAGTAACTAATAGTTTTTCTGCTGGGTTCCCAGATGATGATAATCCTGAAGGCAGGATGTTCAGCTCCTTCCCTTTCCCCAGAACCTGGATGAACGCCTTATACAGAGTAAGTGCTTTCACTTAAACGCCTGTTGGCCAGAGTGTAGCTCAGTAGCAGGGTGCCTGCCTGGCGTGTGCAGGGGCCTGGGTCCAATCCTCAGTGCACACACAATGAAAAGCTGAGTGCTTACTGATTCCAGTTTGAACTGACCTGTGGGAAAAAGTTTCTAGAGCTTAGACCAGTGATAAAGTAGTTTTATTGGGAACATCAAGGCACACGCTTCTGAGACATGAGATGGGATTTGCTTTAGGATCCTGGGTTCTAAGACAGGACTATCTCACCCCTCATGGCTCCTTGAGAAATTAATTAGGGGCAAGATCCAGCCAGGTAAGAACACCGTTACAAAGAACACCACCAGGGTTGCCAGGAAGATGCAAAGAAGGAGGAACTTCCTCAAAGCAGTGAAAATAACAAAGCTCCCAAGGATGAAGAGAGGCTTGGGGAAAAGGGCTTCGTTCCTGGTGCTGGCAGTGACGCTGCCATCTTTCTGCAGTGAAGACTCACCCCTCCACAGGGGTGGTTCTGACTGCAGCAAGGTGGGGGCCTCTCGGTTCCCTCCCTGTGTCCAGTTCAGCCACCCCTGCCCTAGGACTGCAAAGAACGGAGGGGTCTAGGTCATGGACACTGCTACTTGTTCGATGAAGCTGGCCAGGTTTATGTCCCGTTCTGAGAGGCCCGCACATTCGTGGGTGCTCAGGGTGATGTGCACCTGAAACAAAACCACAAGTTCAGGGCCTGCCGACTCTGGACTGCCTAAGAGAGGCAGAGGATGGCTACTATTAGGCCCTGCCTCAGTGAGAGCTCCAGAGCAGCAGGTGATCGCTGACAGTAGCCGGTCGCTGGGGTCTCTCCTGGGGATGGTAGCCAGTCACTACTGTGGTACTCTCCAGGGGACAGATGGTTACCACCATCTTTCGTGGGGACTGTGTACCTGATGGGTCTGTACTATGCCTTCCCTGATGGGACACTGGATGGCAGGAGCACCCTAAAAGCTAAAGACACTCACAGACCACTGTTAGGGGCTGGGGATTTATCTCAGCAGCATAAGTGCCTGCCTGGCAAGCATGAGGTCATGAGTTCGATCCCCAGTACCAAAAGAAAAAAAAACCTGCCGACTGCAAACTGCTATTGCTTCAGATACCCTCATACACCCTTAGCAGTCCAGACTTCTAGAGCTCCTGGCATGTGGCACGCATTTAAGGACCCCTTGAGCAGACAACATTTGCTATGCATAGATAGTTGGAGTGCCTAGTTATTCCTATTTCATTCTTCCCTACCTCCAGAAAGATCAAGGGCATCTAGAGCTATTGACAGAAAGTGAGTCCTGTTCTACGGCATTGCCTGTTTCAGCTTTTAATGTAGTGTCCACTTCAAGTGCACGTACTCAAGGTTTTTAAACTCGCGTCTGCTTCATTTGCAATGAGACTGCCAGCTTGGGAAGGGTGTTTACAGTAAGTCGAAGGTGAACAGAACAAGACTGTGATGCAGTCCCACAGTCGGAGCCTTCCGAGTCGGTGTTCTCAGAACTGGAGGAGCAGAGCACACGAGTGCCTGCCCCCACTCACCTTGTTGTATACGTTAAACCATTCAGGATGGTGATCCAGCTTCTCAGCCTGCAGGGCCACTCTGGTCATGAAGCCAAAAGCCTGTGTGAATGAGGCAAAAACTCAGGTTAGTGTCCTGAGAGAAGAGGTGCCTGGGTACCTTCCTATGGCCACTATAAGCCCTAGACCCAGAAGGACAGACTTGCTTCATACAGGGACTGCCCCTGGCTCTAGTCCTTTCCCAGGGTCCTTCCTTTCCTCAGGCTGGAAGAGGTGGCCTTTGTAGCCGAAAGATGTCTCCTTAGGGTCACTAGCAAGGCGAAGAGCACAGGAGGTTAAAGTTCTGCCAACCTCTTGGCTAGCTATTAAAATGTCATTTGATGTACACCTGTTCTGTGAGTTCCAGCTAGGAAGGCCCCAAGCCCATCTTCCTGACGCTTCAGTTATTCAGGGATGTGACTTTTCCTCATAGCATCCACAGAGACGAGCTTAGCGTGGTCAGCCGAGCTTGGCCACCAGGACTTTAAGCAGGGGAACAAGTCTTCATGGTGCTCACTGCCCCAGCATGGCCCCTATCCCCTCCCCCGACGTACCCTGTTGAAATCTTTGAAGTGGAACTGCTTGAAGATGGCATCACGGCCTTCCAGCTCGTTCCATCCCACAGCCCTCAGGTTGGGCAGCAGCTGGTCCCTCTCCTCAGCACTCAGCCTGTGGGCTTTGCCAGCCTAGAAGAGGAAAAGCACCCAGGCCCCAGGGCATTTCCTTCTATGGGTCAAAACAGGGCCCCAGACCTTTGGGGAATTCAGGTAGCCTGGGCTGCTGTGACAGTCACAGATGACCTATCAAAGGGCAGTGGGGCTTTAAGCAATAGACAGGAGCTCTGAGGGTGCTGCCCTGCCCAGGAGGTGGGGACTCAACTTGTTCACCAATAGGCCCACAAGTTTTGGGTTTTGTACTCCTCAGAGAAAGAATTATCTCAGAAAAACTGTAAGCCTCACAGAGCCCACTGAAGCCCACTGAAGCCTCACAGAGCATCTCCCCAACCAAGATCAGTGAGGCAGTAAAAGCAAAATGCATCCCAGATCAAATGCATTAGAACCCAGCCTCGCAGGAGCACTGTCCCAAGCCTCCAAGCTCTCTCTGGGATGGATCTAGTGTACCCTGTCCATCCCATGCCTGACTGCGGAGGACAAGCTGACACTTTGAGCAGTGACGTGATGTGTGTGGTGTTCTCCTCACCCCTCAGTGACACACAGGCAGTTCTCAGCGTGATCTGTGTGTCCGTGTCCAGCATTTTAAGTAGGTTTCCAGGTGGCTGAGCCACACTGTTGTTGACAGCCCTCCCCGATAGCCACTGCTCCTCAGTCACAGCCTCCGCTCTGAGTTGCCAGGCCTAGGTTGTTGGACTTTCTGTCTTCTGGCAGGTTGGGGAGCTGGGCAATAACTGTTCCAAGGGCAATCAACAGTCTCAGTGCCCCATGCTATTTGCCTGCCATGCCAGATACCCTCAGGGCAGCCAAAAGTGGCAAAGTTATGGCTATGTGTGGACCCTCAGAGGACTCAATGAAGCAAGGGTCAGTCCTGTCCTTTGGAGGAATCTGAGTGGAGGAGAAGGGACAGACCCCGGGCCTGGACTTCCAAGACAGAAGCATGTCATGGCAATGGGGAGGCAGTGCTGAAATCTCTGGGAGAGAGCGTGCAGGGGGCAAGTTTAGGTTACAGCAGACTTGACGCCTTGGGGTGAGCAGGACTGTGGCACAGGGGTGCCCAAGGGATACGCCAGTGAACACCATGGTATTAAGCAAATGTCATTTGTAGATCTAAAGAGGCCTGTGAGGGCCCACAGTATGAGATAGCAGAAGCACTGCAGAGTTCAGAGCTCGCAGTCTGACCTGAGGGGGCCTAGTCCCCCTCTGTCCTGAGTCCTGGCTGTGAGTGGCTGCAAAGGTGGCAGCAGAGATCCACAGCACCGCTCAACACAGGTCTCTTTCCAGAGGTGGCCAGTTTCGGTGGCTGCCGGTTCCCAGTATCCAGGAAACCACCTGTCAGCCAAGGCTTCAGAACCACTGTTTACTTTATTGGCTTCTCAGAAGGCTGGTGGATACCAGCTAGCTGGGGGATGGGGGGGGGGCTCCCTTATCTCCTCTGACATCTTCTAGAGCCTCTCTTGTCCCATGACCTGGGGCTGATCAACAAACCCTGGAGGCTCTAGAGCCAGAGGGGGAAGGGCCCTGTTTGCTCAGTAAATCAGGATGAGGCCCAGAGCCCCCATTCGCAATCCTGGTGCAGAGCGGTTACTCATTACCCAAACTTGCATCTTTGGGGCTTTAGTGCCCCTCTCAGGGCCCCATGTCCAAATTTCCTCGTGTCGTTGACTGCTCTGGCTATTGTGAAGCTTCCTGGCCTACGGGCGGCAGCTCGGCCTGGAGGGACAGACCCTGGGCCATCAGCGGCCAGCTGCAGGCCACAGACGCCATAGAGGCGTGGAGGTGGGGTCTAACGCCCAGGACAGTATCGGGTGCAGACCCTGGGGTGCCAGCCAGACCTCCCACGGAAAGTGCAATCTGGAGGGGACAGTGAGCAGCACCCTCCCGTGACTCACGATGTGGGCCTCCAGCCCTCCGCCCCACACCGACGATCGCTGAGCCCGACCCCGCGCAGCGGCAGAGCGAGCCCTGGCCCAGGAATCAGGCGCAGCGCGGACTCCCTGCTGGCCAGGCCCGCCCGCCAGCCACCGCCCCTCTCCGGCCCTCGGTGTCCAGCGGATACAGTCTGCCAGGCCGCGGGGGCTGCACAGCGGGATCAGAGAGGACCCCCCCGCCCTCCCTCCCGCTGCGCCCCGGTGCAGACCCCGCTCACCATGTCTGCGCGCGCGGGCAGCAGGTGGCGGCGCGGGGCCAGTTGGGCAGAGCGCACTGGGCAGCTCCGGGGCGGGGCCTGCTCGGGCCGCCCCCAGCTAATGATTAACAGCGGCTGAGCTGGGCTCCGCGCCTTCCAGCACTTTCGTCGCCACCTAGAGCTGCCCTGCGTGAGGGGGGCCAGGCTGGAGCTTGCTGGCCGCCCCTGCAGGCTTATGCCTGACCACTTCCCTGCTGGGGGACACCGGGGCGCCCGCCACACCACGCACTTGCTCGTTTTGAAGTGTTCAGATGTAACTGACGTAGAATAAATCGCACATATTTAAAGGGTGCAATTTGACATGCTTTCCCCATAAAATCATTCACCACATTCAAGATTATGCACATGACCATCAACCCTAAAAACCTTCTTTGTTGCTTCGCAATCTCTCTCCCTGGGTTCTTCTCCCAGGCAACCTGGGATCTGCTCTGAGTTTCTGCAGAGCACTTTGGATTTTCTAGGATTTTGTGTAGGCGTCTATAACATACATTCAGTGTATCTGGGGGTTTGTCCACAGGGGCAGTATCGTGCCCTGCTTCCATTGTTAAATAAAATGCATCTATTAGTATTAATTTGTATGGCTATTACCGCAGGTTGTTCAGCAATTCACAGTTGATGGACATTTTAAAGAACTTTTTATTTAAAAACAAAAATAAAATCCAAGGGGTGGGGATTTAGCTCAGTGGCACAAGCACCTGCCTTGCACATGGTCGTGAATTCGATCCCCGGTACCAATAAAAAATAAATAAAAATAAAATCCAAATCAAAATATTTCCCATAGGAGACTTCTTTGTCTTTTAAAAATTTTATTATATAAACCTCTCCCATTTCTATGTATCAAAGGAAATATGTTCTTGTTTTTTCTAAAACCAATACTGGAGAATTTTTAGAAAACAAAACAAGATCCAACTAGCGTCCCTCCTGCCCTGGCCCCAAATAACTCTAATGTATCAGTTGAGACAGTGGTAAGACTCACCCCATGATGCTTGCATTTAATTTAAAATTTTTAACACAACATTGGAGGTTGTTGACTCTAAATCAACAACAAAAATGTATATTTACACTATTTTCCCATAAAACAAAAAACATAATGAAATCCTTTGAACACAGTGACTTTAGGAGTTTTATTTATGGAGCAATTTTTTAATCATCAAGTGATTTTTATCATAGATACTTATATGTGATATATAATATACTGTATACATGATTATTTATATATAAATATAAATATATATATATATTTATATATAAACATATATTTATATATAAACCCTTTGTGGGTTTTGCCCTGATGTTGGGAAGAGGAGAGCAGCTGAGAGGAGATGCAGGAAGGTGGTGGAACTTCTGAGTTCCCGGAGTTCCTCTGTCCCCAGATAACATCTGGTTAATGTAGACCAACCCTCCCCTCTAAAAACCATTTTCTCCTCAGTCCCAATGAAAAGTAAAACCCAACAAGGGCACTGATCCATCTGCTGTGGTGGATACTCTTCAAATAAAGCTTCAGGAACATCCATGTCCATGACCAAGTGCGGGGACATTCTTGTCACCAGGGAAGCTGAATCAGATGCCGGGGGAACTGGCCCCTCTTCTCCTGGCCCCAGATCCTTTGTGCCATGGAAAAAAGAATTCAGTCAAGACACATAGACCGCCATGCAAAGGTAAGGGCAGAGTTATTGTAAAGCAGGTCCTGAGAGAGTCAGGTGTTGGGGTGAGAAGGTGGACAGTGTGGATCTTTTCCGACTGTGAATCTGTGTATCTTTTATGCTTTTAAAGTTAAGGGTAATTATTAACGCTTATCAACATTTTTCTCAGAAACTAGGACTTTGCAATTGCAAAATATCTTGCTGTCTTTTTTAGATGGTCAGTGTTCCCTCAGGGCCCTTAATCATGCAAGAAGTTTCAGAAAGATAAATTCAAATGAAATCAGATCTCAGCCCAAGGTGGGAGAGTTTAAAGAACATTTCCTTTTCAGATATCACTGGGCCAGAGGCTGTGGCAACCAGGAATCCTGTGTGCCGTGTTCTAGAAACAGAGGCCCTGGGCTTCAAATCAAGACTTAATAAATGATTATGAATATATTATGCTCTGAGGTCTTTGTTTCCTCATTTAACTATAACTGATACTTGGGACCTCTATACCTACCTCTATCCCATCCATATTCTGTGTACAGAATAAAAAACTCTCAAACTCTACTTAGTAAGAAAACAAATAAACTAAACTCAGGGGCCTAGAGTTCCAGCAACTTGGAAAACTGAGGCAAGAGAATTATAAGCCTGGGCAACCTAGCAAGACCCCATCTTAAAATAAAATTTAAAAAGGGCTTGGGATGTAGCTCAGTACAAAACCCTTGAGTTTGATCCACAGTACCACAAAAATAGGAAAGAGGAGACACCCTCAGTTTTTAATGGGCAGGAAATTCAAAGAGGCAATTCACTAAAAAAATACTTATTTATGGCAAATAAGGACATGAAAAGATGTTCAACATTATTGGACATTAAGGAAACTCAAAATCATAAGGCAATACCATTTCACACCAGGTAGAATTAGAATGAAATGTGCTGGCCACTCCAAGTATTGACAGTGTTGTACTGGAACTCACACACTGCAGATGGGAATGTTAAAAGGGGCAACTGTAGAGGCTGGGGATTTAGCTCAGCAGGTATAAGCGCTTGCCTTGCAAGCAGGCAGTTGTGAGTTCGATCCCCGGTACCGATAAAAAGGAAAAAGACAAAAAAAAAAAAAAAAAAATACAGTTTGAACTCAGCCTGGAGAATTTAGCAATTTAGGGAGGACTGTCTCAAAACAGAAAATAAATAAAGCCAGAGCTATAACTCAAAAGATTTGGATTCAGTCTCCAATACAAAATAAATTTTAAAAACAAATAAGATACAACTACTCGTGAATGTTTCCTAAATGTTATTAGCATGCACCTGCCTTTTGACCCAGACATTTCTAGTACTGACTCAGGAAAAATGAAAACCGTAGGCAGATTGTTAGACTTAGCAGACCTGGGGCACAGAGAGGGTAGAGCTGGGGTGGAGGCCCCAAGTACCAGTTATAATTAAATGAAGAAACAGAGGCCTCAGTGTGTAATACATTTATAATCATTTATTAAATCTCAATTTGAAGCCCTGGGCTTCTGTTTCTAGAACATGACCCATAGTGTTCCTGGTTGCCACAGCCTCTTTAAGGAGTCTTTTTTAAAGACTCTCCCACCTTGGGCTGAGATTTGATTTCATTCGAATTTATTTTTCTGAAACTTCTTACAATTTTGTATACTGAATTTAAAAAATCAAATGCATGATTTAAAGATATTCTTTGCATTCTCTTTGTCTTTCAAACAGAAAATGTTCTTAATTTTGTTGAAATTCAATTTTGTTTCTTTTGTTTATGGATTGGTATTTTAGTGTTGTAATTAAGAAATCTCTGCCTGACCCACTCACAAAGATTTTCTCCTATGTTTTCTGGTGTTTTACAGTCTTTGTTTTTTTTTTTTAATTTATCAGTCTTTGGTTTTATATATAAGTGTATGTTCTATTTTGAGTGAAAATTTTAATAAGTTTCAAGGTACAGACCCAAATTCACTTTTTGCATATAAGTAGTCACAGAATTGTTTTTTAAAACTGTTTTTAAAAAATCATTTGATGATAAGGGATGGGGATTTAGCTCAGCAACATAAACACCTGCCTGGCCAACGGGAGTCGTGAGTTCAATCTCTCGTACAAGAAAAAAATTTTGATGGTGTACGTATGGGTTTGTTTCTGGGCTCTCCTTTTTTACAGATCTGTCTCTCCATCTTGATATCAATACTACATTCTCTTGATTAGCACACTTTATAGTAAGTCTTAGAGTCAGGTAATGTAAGTCCTCAGAATTTTATATTTCAGAGTTTCTTCTTCCTCCAGTAACACTGTGGCGAATGTGGTTAATTTTTACTTTTGTAAAAATTATGTGGTTTTGCAAGATGCATTCTTGTTTGGTCTATATGTATTTTTAAAATTTATGCAAGTAGTATTATTACGCATGGCATTTTTAACACTTAAGCTGGACTTAGGGGTGCATGTTTGTAATCCAGCACTCTGGGCAGCTGAGATAAAAAGGTGGCAAGTTTGAACCTGGGCAACTTAGTGAGATCCTGTCTCAAAATAAAAAATGTATAAAAAGGACTGGGAATGTAGCTAGTGTGAAGGTGGGGGTTCAGTGACAGTACTACAAAACAGACAAACAGACAAACAAATCAAACCCTAAGCAACAACAACAGAAAGTGCTGGCACTTCCTGGAGAACCGTCACCAGCCCACGTTCTCTTGTGCTTACCTAGTCTGTGATACTAAGTGTTGTAAGTGCTGCTTGGTGTGCCTCCAGGAGGCTGTACCATGGTCTGCAGTCCTCCCAGTGGCAGCCACTCAGGCTTTTTCCCACTCTTTGCCACCGTCACCATCACCACTGTCACCTCCCAGGCCCGTGAGCAGGTGGTCTTGTGTGTGCGCTCACAGCAAAACTACAGAGAAAGATGCGGCACTGACCATCTGGTCTAGCAGCTCCCTGTCCGGAGGCACGTTTCCTAGACCGGCTAAGCACGTGCATCACCGACGTAAAGCCAGCCGTTCCCCACCATGAACGTGTGCGTCAAAATAGTTCCAGCTGTTGTCCAGAATGGCCGCCCCAGCCCTTTCACACCTGCACTGTGTGAGGTGTCGTATTTTTCTGGGCCCAGCACACACGTACTCACACTGGTATCATCTGCTTTTTCAGTTTTTGTTAAGCTAATAGCTATAAAATGAGAGCTTGCTGATTTATTCTGCATGTTTTTCTGATTACTAATGATTTTGAGTGCTTCTTCCTATGCTTGTGAGCATCTGGGGCTTACTGTTTTTAAATCGCTTTTTAATACCCTGTGCCAAATTTTTAGAATTTATAGTTAATTTTTTTTAGCTGATTCTGTGGGAGTTCATACCTAGACAGTAATTGCCTATCATTTTTAGATGTTACAAATATCTCCTCCCATCCTGCCATCTGTATACTTAGTTCATCCATGATGTCCTTTTATGGGTAGAAATACATATATATGTGTGTGTGTGTGTGTGTGTGTGTGTATACTATATATGTGTATATATG